TGTTAGTTATCAAAAGTATTCATAATCTTTTTTAAAAAAATTAATGAATTCCTTTTTTTGGTTTTGAGTTATAGAAGACAATTGGGGAAAGTATCTTTTGTGTAAATAGTAGTATAAAGGTAAAACTCTATGAAGATTTTAATTTGATTGTATTTGAGGTGGAATTTTCATATGTTAAATCAAGCAAACTTTAGCAATGCTTGTTTCCTTAGGAATATAGAATAAATGCGTACTTGAAGAAAATACATTATTAATTATTTTTATATATTAATTGTTTTAAGATAAATATTGTTTGATCATAACTCCTTTTCCAACTCCTCTAAAAGCTTTTTCCTCATTTACTCAATATTTCAATCATCCTTATCAAATTATTGATTGAATTAATATTAGTGTTTTCAGAATTTACTGATTGTTAATATTTTATTTTTATTGTTATTGTTATTGTTATTAGTAAAAAATAAAAAGTATTCTAAAAATGTTATTTAAAAGTAATTAAAATCCTTTTAAATGTATTCTTTTGATTTGATCCATAAAGTTATTAAAAATTTGTGGATAAACTATAAATACAACTGGCAATTTATTTGAAAGATTAATAAAATGTAGGAATGCAATTATTATAAATGTACTTTTTTATTTTGCTTATTATAAATATACCTAGTAATTTTTATGTGTTCAACTTATAAAACTTGTAATGTGGTATTTTTCGATGATTGTAACTGTATTTTAGACTTATTTCCTATATGCGTAATTGTTAAAGAGTTTTAATCTAAAAATATTAAAATATTTCATTAGTTGTTGTCTAATTATTTATTATTTAAATTTCTTATAAAATAAATTTCAAGCTTTAAAAATTATCCAAAAACACACTAATAAAAAATTAAAATATTAAAGGTCCAAATCATCATCCAAGTATTTTAATTTTTTTTATTTACTTTATTTATTTTTATTCGATAAATTTAATATTAGAATTTCCCTAATTTCTCCAGCATCTAATTTTTAAATAATTTCATAAGATTAATCTTAAGATATTTGCAGTAAATCTTGGAAAATTATCAAGGAAAATTAGAATTATTTACATTTAATTTAGCCATTGTCGAGGCTTTAAGGTCTGTTCAAAAAGATTCATTTGAGCCATTATTTGAAAAGGGAGTTCACAAGGGTACAATTTTAATATTGCTACAACTCATATGAGATCTATAATAGCATCAGTGTGTGATGATAAGAATATAAAATTTTGGGATTTTTCTAATGATTTAAAGAAATCTTCTCACATCAATTTCACGAAACTCCATTATCAGTGGCTATTCATCCATTAAGTTATTAATGCGCAATTGGGTTTAAAGATGGGTAATTAATTAAATATTCATTATACATAGGCTTCGATTCTATTTTATCCTAGATGATGATCTTAAATTAGTCCATAATGAGACTACTAAAGTTTGTAATGCACTAACATATAGTGAAGGAGTTCATATTTTAGCAGCTGCTAATGGTTATAAAATTTAATTGCATAACCAATTACAATATAAAATGATTAATGTCTTGCCTAATCACTAAACAAATCTAAAGGATCTATTATTTATTGATAAAGTATTAAAATTAATTAAATATATTTGAGGACAATCTGTTAATTTCATAATGTCAATTTGGAATTTTATATGTTTATCATATCTGATGGGTAATCCGAATATAACATGCATTGTAATTAAAACAAAGAGAAATTATGATCATTTGCTTTTATATTTCTACTTTTCATAACATAGATATATCATAATGCTTAATCCGAATAGGAAGAAGGAGCAAAAACAATGTTTGAAATGAGAGAAGCTTCTAACTTTGACTATCCTTTGCGTTCTATTCTATTGGACAACACACAAAAATATAAAATTATCATAAATTGGAAAAAGTAGGTTATTTTTATAAGGTAATGATCCAAACAAATGAATAAATGTTTTAATTATTTGATAAAAATAAAGAATGAATAAGATGCTTTGATTAATTTCATAGATAAAGTAAATATAGAATAATATATTAATAGTAGCAACTAATTTTAGGCATAAGAATAAAAAGGAGGAACAAATTATGCTAATGCAATCGCAGCTGTTTATGAAATAATTATGAAGAAAATTTATGAAAGAGAAGGAGGTTATCTAACCTTTGAAGAAATAAGATAAGATTTAATTTAGAAAAATGGAACAAACGGGTGACAATACATTTAAATGTTTAATAAATTTGTTAAGCTTTAGATTATAGTGTAAAGAATTAAAAGATATAAGTGATATTAAATAATGTTTACATTAAGGAATTCAATTATCAGCAAGATTTTATTTATGTGATAATTAATGGGATAGTAAAGATCCGAATCAGTTTGGTTTTAAATCCTTCTTTACAAAATATCCAAAAGGAATTTTAAGAAATCTTCCAAGAAGATCAAATAAACCTGTTGGAGGAAGTTGTATTACATAAGTACACTTCAGAGTATTATTCATTTATCAACTCTTTGGGAACTGATTGGGGAGATTATGGATTCTTTAAAGTAATAGACCTTGAAGTGCTTGGTCAAAATTCCTTCATGGAAGTGTTTTTGACTAAAGATAATTTAACAGAATAAGATAAATAATCATTTAAACAGATTGCAGGTTAAAAAATTTCAAATTTTTATTAAAACGTCTTTAGAGTTATCGGAAATTAATTCTATACATATCCTAAATGCTACAACAATCTTTCATTAATGAATATAAAGAAAATTCTTATGAAGCTAAGTGTCCTAAATGTCAATAAAACTTTCATCCATAATTAATAATAAATTCTTTTAGATAAAATATTTATTATTTTAGTCAGATAATAATATGAATATTATTATATAAATACAAGAATTGTTTCAGATATAAAATATAAATTTTTTTCATTTATTAAAAAATTAATTGAAACTTATTATCTAAATATTATTCAATTGTTTTGAATCTAATTTATAATTTAATAATTAACATTTTATTTATTAAATAATTTCATTTAAAGTTCATTTCTTCTTGTTTAAATTTTTCTTTTTATCACTATATTGATATAAATTATCCAAAGTTCCATATCCCTTACCATTTTTAATTATCCAACAAATTTGACTTCACATCCATAGGAGGAAATCGAAATAACTCTACCTCCAAAAGCTTTCATGAAGTTCCTACGGTCTCCATTTTTAATAAATTATCCTCATCATAATTTCCACTTACATGAACTGAATGAAGTAATAATTTATATTAATTTTCGAAATTTTCAAATAACTCAGTTTACATTCTAATCTCTTAATAACATTCTTAGTCATAATTATTTTTCCCATGAAATAATCTTTAGGTTGATACTGGATTGGACGACTACTATAATATTTAATAAAATTATATAATTAGTTTCTCTAGATATTTAATACTATTATGACGATATTTTCTTATATATAGCTAGAGCGCTTAGAACGAAAATGTTATCTTGGGTTAACTTTTAAATATACATTAATGACCGAAATAAAGAAAAAGGGCATGAAACGTGTGAACATAATTAAAATTATTCTCCATTTATTATTTATATATGTATATAGCATATAATTTGAATCATTATTGCAATGTATGATTAACATATTTAAATTCATACTTGAAAACAATCTTTAAATCAGAAAATGCTTATATTAATTCTTCAAATCCTTCTGTCCATTGTTTTAATTAAGTTCCCAAAACTCTTTTATTTTATTCTTATTTTCAAAACCTTTTTGCTATTATTTTGATAATCTATCCTCTAATAAATTAAACAACACTACAAGAGGACTATCATATGTAAATGATTGTAAATTCTTTAGTTCTGATTCTAATTTTTTAATCTTTATGTTTTCAGTTCCTTGATTGTCAACTAAAATAGAATAAATAAAACTACTTTATTAATTCTTTAAAGATTCTATTAATTTGACTAATTAATTGTTCTCATTTTAGAACATAGCTATCTAATCATTTTTAGCAATTTCTCATCTCTATTGTGTGATATACTCTTATGTAAATTTATCTTCTAATCTTAATTTATTAAAAGAGACAATTAATTCATCATCTCATTAATATTTTTATCCTTTTCTTACAAAACATTTTAACTTTCTTATTATTAATTCAACAATTCTAAATTTTATTCATTTATTTTATTTAATAATCTTTCTATTTCAGTTGCTAAATTTGATTTCGTTTATCTCAAAGTAGTTATTTCTTTTATTTATGATTATTCTTTTTCTTTATAGATATTCATTTAATAAGTCAAACCTTTAAATTTTTTTTTTTAATTTTTCATTTTCTTTTTTGTAATTTTAGTCAATTCAGGTTTATAATCTTAAATATTTTAATTTTTTTATTCTATTAATTCATTAATTATCTCATTATTTTATTATTATTGTTGTTGTAATTAATTTCTCAATTCTTAAATAATAGTTTCTTTATTTTGCATTTCAAATTGAAATTAACTGTCTTTCTAATTAGAATCATTTATAAATTTTCTAATCTATTCTTCTAACAACTTTAAATTTTTATTTTGTTAATCAATACTTCCTTTTAATTTTAATTCCCTTTATAATGCTTAAATTTTCTCTTCTTTACACATAGTTATAGTTTCTAAATAATATAAATTATTTGCATTGAAATTACTCCAAAGTTAATTTTAATGCAAATACTTCAGAATATATTTCATCATTTCTTTTGGTTGTTTAATCTAAAATTTCATGTATAGCAATTAATTCTTTTTATAATTGTTGTTTTACTTTAATTGATTGTAATAATTTATTCTTTAAATTTATTTGCTAAACATTTAAACAATCATACTTAGATGATCAATTCTTTACTATACTCATTTAATTATTTAATCTCTTTTTATAGAATTATTAATAATCAAAGTCTTACATTTGCTTTAGAAATTTTTCATTTAGTTAGATTTTGTTAGAGTCAAATAGAAATTCTGTCTCTTCATTAGATCCATTTTATGTAATTACTCCTTGCTTTTAAATATTAATAAATATTATTATAATATAAACTATGGTTGTTTCTATGATAACTTATAAATTATTTATAATTTCTTATTTTTATTTCTATTAAATTCTCCACTAAATTTTTAATTGAACTTCTAAGCTTATATATAAGATTTATTTTATTAGGAAGATTCAACTATAAACTAATTGATACTTTAATGAAATAAATCTTATTTGTTTAATAATAAATAGAAATTTTGAGTTCCTAATAGTCAGAAATACTGGGGATTATTATTAAGTTTAACATTTTAATCAATTAATTCAGTTACTATATGATAGATTCTATTTAAATCAAAATATAAAACTTTTTCTTTAATTAAATGGTATTTTATATCAATTAAACTTAATTTATTTATCAATATCTATATAATTGTTTATATTTATACTTTATTTATTAATACTGCGATATAATTGATTTAAGAGAACTTAATATATTATATTTAATATAACATTTTTGAACATAAGTGAATCTATGGTTTATACACATATATTAAAGAGTTTAGCAAAATTATTAACTAATAAATTTTGATCTCCTTTAATTTCAATAATTTCTTATAGTCATTACATTATTATCTTTGATATTCTATCTCACTCCAGTAGTTAAAGTGTATGTAGCTCTTTCGGAATATGGTAATAAATATTAGGGACTATTAAATTCAGAATGATCTAATAAATATAGAACAGTTATATAATTGTATATTTAATTGTATTCTATTGGAATACCTTATGAATGTAAAATAAAAACATGTCTTTAATAAAAATATGTGTTAATATCAATTACACATTAAATTTGGCTTTCAAATATAATTTACATTAAGAAGCTTAAATCGATTATCTACATCCTTCCATAAATTCTCTACCTAATTATAATTCTTAATTCAAAGTTTATGAACTAATACATTCAGATGATTGTAACCAAAAGATCATAAAACTTAAATAATGTTTTTTGAGTGGAGATTATCTCTATTTTAATAATTTTTCCATACAAATATCTATAATATATTCTAATAATCAAGGATCTCTATATAATATACAATCTATTAAATGTCCTATGGCACTTAAATTTCTAAATGTTCTTTAGTTCTATTAACAATATTATCTAAAATTCTTTATGATGAATTTTCTATATATGGCCAAAAGATATTAATTAAATTTGGTAATACAAATCCATAATCTACATCTTTGTACTTTATCAAATTAAAATTTTTAATAACTAAATTGAATACTTCTGATACAAAATCACTTAAATATCGACACAATTCATTTTCTTCATCATATAATTCCATATAATCTTCAGGTGTAAAATTCAAGAATATTTTACAATAAAATTCTAAGGAATCTATATTCTCGTTTTCTCCTTAAACTTCAAATAATTTATATGTCGAATCCATAAATTCTTATAGATGATGAATGGAAAAGGGACTAAAAATTATAGTTTCCATTATAAATACCATATTCCTTATACTCTTAATTATGATAAATTAGAGAGATGTCACATCATTAATAGCTTATTTCATTTTATTTAAAAAGAAATCTATTAATTTAGGTTCAAAACAAGATAAATATAATATTGTTTTTGTATCCTTAATCTTCCATATAAATAACTTTATCCAATACATCCATAACTATTTGAATAAAATCTTATTTTGCTTATTCATCCAATAAAAATGGTAATAATTTATCAATATTAATTTTAGTTGTATGTATTTTGTTGAATTTTTTTTTTGGATAATTTATTTAAAAACTAGAATATCCTTAATTTGGATTAATTAATAGTAATTCAAGAATATATTTATCACTTTCAATACAATCTTAAATATGAACATCGTTAAATTAATCAATTAATTCTTACATTAAAGATTCAGAAACATTTTCATCATAGTTTTTATTTTATTATATTTCATAAATTCATCTCTTCTATATTCTGAATAAAATTTCCAACCATTAAATTAAATAATTTAAATATTTAATCATCCATAGTTTATTAAGAATATACTGAAGTAATTGAATCTCCTAAAGAAAATAGTCTTTTCATTGTTAACATAAATTCTTAATATCCTTCTATTTTTGAATTTCCAATTAATTCAACTAACAATTATGGTATTATTTTAAATAAACTTGTACTCCTAAAATATCATCTGGTAATAACATAGCAACTAATTTTTCATCTAAAAAATAATATTAATAATATTTACTTTTATAGTTTAATATCTTATTTATATATAATTATAATATAAATTTCTATATCATCTTAACCTAAATCATTAACCATGGAGAATCTCATCATTTATGGCATAAGATTCATTTATTATAGACATACTCTTATATAAATTAATATAAATAAACCTTCAATTATCCTTTTTTCCAAAAATTAATAAGGGATCCATTAAATATTTAATAAGATCTTTATAGGCATCTATGGAATATCATTTCTAAATGGTGCAAATAACATTAAACAACTCTGCAAGCTCCTATCTTTCTTCATTCAAAAAAGAGTAAATTTATTTGAATCAAATTTTAATGGTTTAGCCTCATAAAAATCTAATAATTCTTATGCAGTCTAAAATCTTCTAAAATTAATAGCTCTTCTAATTCTTCAATTATATTTTCTAATTTATTTACTTACTCTTTTTCAAGCTTCATTATAAATAATTCTTTTTATTAAAATATAATTATTCTAATATTTATTATGCTTCCTTTCTTTAACTAATCTGGGGATCATTAAATATAATAGTTATTCTTTGTCATCTATTTTAAAATTTTGTTATTTTTAAAGGGCTCTTGAGTAATTGAATATTAGTTTTAACATAAGTAATTATACACAATTAAATTAATATATATATTTGAATTATCCTTGAATTTATGCGAATTTTAAGTAAAATTTTGAAAAATTAAATTTATAATGAGTTTAGAGATTCTCGATTATCTCAAACAGGAGAATTAATAATTATAAGAGCAAGCTCGTGAGATCTAAGGATTACTAAAATTAAATAAGTAAGCTTTAAAGTTTTTGATATCTAAAACTAGTGATGAATAACGAAAGGCGTAATGAAGCTCTATGTGATTAATTGATCAATTAATAAATTACAGAATAAGTATAAAGATAAGAGAAAGAATTAATTGCGTAATTATAATAAAAAATATAAGGCATGTAAGAAAATTTGATGTATGCTGAAAGTAAATTAGCAAAGACGGAAGAATTAAAACCATGAAATTGCTGGAGTAGTGATAAAATTTAATAAAGTTTGTGATCCTGATTTAATTGGTCTAAAAATGCATAATGAAATTCAAATGTTAAATGAATAACTATTAATAGAACAGAAATAAAAATTATTAAAAGCGAAATCAAATATATAAGGATTAATTTTAGTACATATATTATATGTATCATTATTAGAGATTAATGATAAGAAAAAGTAGCACATATTGGTAATAAACTAATATTCATGAATTAAGATCCAGAATTTATTAGTAGATTTTCAGACAAGAGCTCTTAATTTAATTTATAATAATACATCATCTTCTGAATCACCTTCTTCTAAATCATCAGAAGCACCTTTAGATTCAATTAATTCACATAAAAGATAATAATTTTAAAATGAATTCAACTAAGAGAGCAGTAATTCCTAAACTTGATTTAAAAAGAGCTAAATAAATATAAGAGATTAATGCAAAAAGGTAAATGTAATCTCTTATTACTTAAAATATTTTCTATCTGGCCTCTTTTTTAGATTTTTTAAATTTGCCTACAATGACATTAAATAGATTATTGGCTAATTTCCATTGAAACTAAAAAATATGAATTGAATATAATACATCTCATATTATTATTGACTAAGCTTATATTTTGGATGCTTAGAATAGTTCCTATTTAATTAAAAGAATAATGTATGAGTAGGATAAATTCAAATCAGCTGCTGTAATGAAGAAACTGAGGGCTAAACAAGTAAGAATTCCATGATCATTTAAATAATCAATAAAATTTTTAATTACTACTTATCTTAGTATTTTTATAAAAATAATGTTTATAATGATTAAATTAAGATATACAACATTTAAGTTAATATGAAAATTTAAATTGATATTTTCATACTTATATTCATAAATAGAATTAAAGAATATTAGAATGTGATAGTATTACTAGAAAATACTGAAAATAAAACTTGAACAATGCATATTATTCTGAAAAAATAAATGTTCATTTATTTGCAACTGTGAAGATATTTATAGCTGAAGATGTTTTTGGCTATTTCATATCCAATATATGGTTCTTGATCTTCAGGTAAAATTAAATACAACTTCTAATTAAAGGGCCCAATAAACCAAAGATCAAAAAACCTATCTAATAAAATGCCAATTAAATTTTACCATCGCCATCCAATATATTTTAAAAATCAGAACAATAAAATAAACTTAGTAATGTAAATATAATTATCGGAGCCTCCAATAAATAGATTACAAAAAGATCCAAGCTTGATGATTAAAATCTTATTAATGTAATGAATAATAAATAGCCAGATAAGATTACAGCGAGCAAAATGCATTGATATGAAGAATTGTATTACATTCCTTCTAAAACAATAAGGAATAACAGTTTTTTCAGTAGAACAATACCTTCATATTATTCACTCCTTAGTTTAGCTATCACAACTTTCTAATTTTGCCTTCTAAAATGTTATATCAATAAAAAAAATAATAACACAATGTACCCAATACAAATACAATTTGAGACCAAAGATCTATAACCAGATTATGTATTAGAAACTGTATATAAAATAACTTTAAAAAGCAAATCCCAATTGTTAGCATAAAATAATTGAAGTAATCCTTTTTTTGTGTAAAGATTACTTAGCTGTAAAAATTTTTATTAATGTTATACAATTTTATGATTAGTGATTCAATAGCTGTTTATTTTGCTAATCTAACATAGTCAATTTGTTTGATGGAAAAGCATTTATGAAAGAAGAATTTTCTATATACAATAAGAAATATGAATAGCCAAAAAAATAGGATTATTTATGTAATAAATCCATAAATATTTGTTAGCAAGTCTGCATTAAGTTGATATTGTTAGAATTTTCCAATGCTTTCCAGATGTTCATATCCAAATAAATTATTAAAAAGGTCAAAAATATTCAATTTGACTAGAATAGGTGTAAATGTAATAATCTGAATAGAAATAATTACATTATACAAAATCAGAGGATTCAAAATAAATTTAAATGTTTTAGGGGAATTCTATATTTATACGTAATTAAAAATAAACAAACAATTTAATGATTTATTGACTTTATATACCGCAAATATGATTAAAATTAGAGTGTATCTAAAATTGTTAGGCTTGATTAGGGATCCCCTAAGAGCAACATCAAAACACTGTTAAATCCTAAGTCAATCATTATATAATTTCCCATCTTTGAGAATTTATTTGCAATCTTAATTTGAGAATCAGATAATATTGTTGCTGTTTTTAGTTTTAATTCTTATGAGGCCAAAGCTAAATTAAAATCATGCTCATCTACGATACCATCCTCAATACTTATAACCAAGATTGGTGGTGTAGATGTAGAAGTTAAAATTTTGATTTTAAATTAATAAACTGGGTCATTCAATTTTTGTTAGTCTATTTGAGTTAT